CAAAGTCAAAGGACCTTCTCCTGGATGGCTCCCAAATAGTCCCTCACTAACAATTCAGTCAATATCCTGGTACCCAGAATGGACAAAACAAGAGGAGCAGTGCTCCTTACAGAATTCTGTGTTAGTAAGTCTTACTGCTAATTATTCATTGTGACATTCTCTGGATTCTGGTGAAGTAATGTCTATATACTGTTAGCACACCTGCCTATGTTTCACTCAACGAACAAATATACCCCCAAAGAAGAAATTATATTCTCAGAAATTCCCCATTTACAAAGGTACGTATGTTTCCTGTCATGGTTTCATAATTTATCTTCACTGCGGAATTATCTACCATTGGTAGTGGCCTTAAAAACTTTACCTGTTGGGGGGCGCCTGGGTGGCGCAGTCGGTTAAGCGTCCGACTTCAGCCAGGTCACGATCTCGCGGTCCGGGAGTTCGAGCCCTGCGTCAGGCTCTGGGCTGATGGCTCAGAGCCTGGAGCCTGTTTCCGATTCTGTGTCTCCCTCTCTCTCTGCCCCTCCCCCGTTCATGCTCTGTCTCTCTCTGTCCCAAAAATAAATAAACGTTCAAAAAAAAAAGAAAATTTTAAAAAAACTTTACCTGTTGGAAGCCTGGATGGCTCAGTCAGCTAAGCAACCAACTGTTGATCTCAGTTCAGGTCATAAGCTCCGGTTCATGAGATTGAGCCCCACATCGGGCTCTGCAAATGGAGTCCAGCTTCAGGCTCCACACTGGGCTTTCCATTGGGCTCCATACTGACAGCAAGGAGGCTGCTTGGGATCCTCTCTCTCCCTCTCTTCTCTGCCCCTCCTCCACCCGCATGCCCATGAACTCACTCTCTGTCTCTCTCAAAATAAATAAACATGAAAAAAATTAATAAATTAATCAAAAAATTAAAAAATAGAGGCACCTGGGTGACTCAGTTGCTTAAGCATCCGACTCTTGATTTCAACTCAGGTCATGATCTCACGGTTTCATGGGTTCCAGCCCCACATCAGGCTCTGCACTGACAATTTGGAGCCTGCTTGGGATTCTCTGTCTCCCTCTCTGCCCCTCCCCCACTCGTGTTGTCTCTGTCTCTCTCAAAATAAATAAACAAAAATAAAAAATAAAAACTCTAGCTGTCACAAACTTCCAGTTTAAAATAAGTCAGTGAATGTAAAGTAGAGACAGTATAAGGAATATAGTTATTTTTTTTTCTGATCATAGTTACTTTATTGTGGGGGATTTTCTTTTTTTTTTTTTTTTTTCATTTTTTCAAATTGACATCCAAATTAGTTAGCATGTAGTGCAACAATGATTTCAGGAGTAGATTCCTTAGTGCCCCTTACCCTTTTAGCCCATCCCCCCTCCCACAACCCCTCCAGCAACCCTCAGTTTGTTCTCCATATTTATGAGTCTCTTCTGTTTTGTCCCCCTCCGTTTTTACATTCTTTTTGTTTCCCTTCCCTTTTGTTCATCTGTTTTGTCTCTTAAAGTCCTCATATGAGTGAAGTCATATGATTTTTGTCTTTCTCTGACTAATTTCACTTAGCATAATACCCTCCAGTTCCATCCACATAGTTGCAAATGACAAAATTTCATTCTTTTTGATTGCTGAGTAATACTCCATTTTATATACATATATACCACATCTTCTTCATCCATTCATCCATCGATGGACATTTGGGCTCTTTCCGTACTTCGGCTATTGTTGATAGTGCTGCTATAAACATGGGGGTGCATGTGCCCCTTCAAAACAGCACACCTGTATCCCGTGGATAAATGCCTAGTAGTGCAATTGCTGGGTCATAGGGTAGTTCTATTTTTAGTTTTTTGAGGAACCTCCATCCTGTTTTCCAGAGTGGCTGCACCAGCTTGCAAAGAATATAGTTATTAACATTGTACTAACTTTGTCTAGTGACTGACTGATAGTAACTAGACTTATCAAGGTGGTCATTTCATAATGTACAAAAATACTGAATCACCATTTTGGACACCTAAAACTAATATAATATTGTGTCCATTATAATGTGAAAACAAAGTCAGAAGCCAATTAATTAATTAATTAATTAAGAATACAAACTTCAGCTGTCAATACCTACACATATCATGTACTTCATGAGCACTCCAGATTCTGCCAGGTAGGTCTTTTTTTTAAGGGAGTGATTGCTTTACAATGTAAATAATCACACTCACAAAAGCCTTTTTTTCAGTTTTTTCTTTTATTGAAGTATAGTGAATGCATAATACCATATTATCAGTTTATTTTCTTGTATCAGGTTTTATTAAACCAGGATGCACTTTTACATATGTAGGATCCTTTCTAAAAGCATGCCTCTGAGTTCTTACCATTTTAAGTAATTTATCTCAAAAATATAGATTCTTTCTTCCACAAGCTCAGAATTGTAAACCTTTACTGACACTTCCCATAGAGTTGTTCTTAGAGTCAAATCCAGAAAGCATTCCCTGGGTTTGAATTTGAGTTCTTTCTGGAACCATAAATGAGAATGTCATGACCTGGTATGATGGTTAATTCTATGTGTCAAGTTCACTGGGATAAGGGATGTTCAGTCTTTAAAATGTTATTTTGGGTATGCCTGTGAGGGTTTTTTTCTGAAGAGATTAGCATTTAAATAAACAGACTGAATAAAGAAGATTGCTCTCACTGGGTATCATACGTAAGTGATGAATCACTGGGTTCTACTCCAGAAACCAATACTACACTGTATGTTCACTAACTTGAATTTAAATAAATAATTTTAAAAAAAAGAAAGAAGAAGAAGATTGCTCTCACCAATACAGGTGGGCATCATCCAGTCCATTCAGGGCCTGAATGAACAAAAAGGGGGAAGAAGGGAGAACTTGCTCTCTTGGCTTGCGCTGGGACATCAATCTTCTCCTGCCCTTGGACATTAGTGCCCCTGATTCTTGGACCTTTGGTGTCAGACCAGGACCTACACCATAGGCTCCTCCAGTTTTCAAACCTTCAGGCTCAGCCTGAATTACACCACTGATTTTCTAGCTTCTCCCGCTATCAAATGACAGATCATGGGACCTCCCAGCCTCCATATTGTGTGACCCAATACCTATAATAAATCTCTTCTTATATCCATCTCTCAATCAATCTAAATAGATGTATAGTTATATCGTTATAGTAGGTAGGTAGATGATAGATAGATAGATAGATAGATAGATAGATAGATAGATAGATAGATATAGATAGATGATAGATCTTATTGGTTGTTTCTCTGGAGAACTCTTATATACCCAGTATGTTTTGTTTGTTTCCATCAGCCAGAAACCTAAAAGTCAAATACATTTTGTGTTCAAATCTACTCAGGTCAGGTATCTGAAAGTTCTGTCCTATTTCTTTCATATGAATTCTTATTTTTGATCCTGAAAGTTTCTCATCTTTGCACTGATTTTGCATCCTGCCATCATCCAAAAGAACATAAAGCTCATTACTGATACAACATTCATTAAATGAAATGTTTTTCAAAACTTATGACTTGTGCCCTTTCTGCCAACCATAACAAGTGCAGCCGCTAAGATACTGGGTTGAGTGGGGGATGTAGAGACTGTGTTGCTACGGGCACCATCATGTAACCTGCTTGCTCTTGGCCAGTTGAGAAACACCATCACAGAAAAATCTGTCCTTCCCCCGATCCAGTCAAGCTCAGCATTTTCTCCTTCCATATACTATAATTTCTGGAATCCACATTCAAATGATGATTATAAATGTCTTTAAGATACAACTATCTACATGTAAGGAACTACTTGAATTATAATGGTCTTTTAAGCCTCACTTCAAGCGAGCTGACGCCTTCTTATATTTCAAAGAAGCAGGTTGATATAGAAGTCAGATGGGCCTATACTTCAAATAAGACAATGTAGCTACAAAGAAATTAAGTACATGGATCACATGGAAAATCAGCTATGATTCTGGGGACTTTGTGGGTGGAAACAGCTAGTCATCTGCCAAAATTTGTTCTCCTTTTTCTCCACAATAATCAAATTGGGGCTGGATACCTGGTTACCTAGCTACAGACTCTTTTCAGTACCCTGGCAAAGAGCTGGGAGCTATGGCTAATTTCTCACCAACAGAGGTGAGTAGAAATGATGGTTTCTACATCTAGTGGAGAAACCTTAAGACATGAAGTTTGTTTCCTCCTTGATCTATCCTCACCCTTCTTGCTCCCTGGAACCTCATGCTGACCATGTAGATAACAAGAAGGCCCTAGACTGAGGGTTGGCATATTGTCTCTATCTCAGCTACTCAACTCTGTCATCGTAGCACGAATGGAGCCATAGATAACACATATGGTGTGATCGTATCCTAATAAAACTCGATTTATGGACACTGAACTTTTAATTTTATTAAGTGATTATGGGTCGGGGCACCTGGGTAGCTGAGTCAGTTGAGAATCTGACTCTTGATGTCAGCTCGGGTCATCATCTCATGGTTGTAAGATGGAGCCATGCATCAGGCTCCGTGCTGAGCATGGGATTGTCTCTCTCTGTCTCTGTCTCTGTCTCTCCCTCTGCTTCTCCCTCACTCTCTCTCTCTCAAATTAAAAATTAAAATAAAAAATAAAATGACTATGTGTCATGAAATATTATTTTACTTTTGATTTGTTTACAACCATTTAAAAGTCTAAAAACCATTCTTAGCTTACAGCTCATTAAAAACAAGTGTCAAGCTGAATTTGGCCCACGGCGCTTAGTTTGCCAACATCCTAAGGGATGTTGACACTATGGAATGAGGGAACTTCCATCTTTGCCTGTTGAGCAGAGCCACCTGCCAACCTGAAGCGCTCACCTTGGACTCTTGCAGGAAAGAACAAATCTCTTTCCTTCTTTAAGCCCCTTTATAGCTAGGTGTCTCTCGTTACACCAGATTAACAGTTTACTTTAACTAATACATAATCCATAACTCATGACCACCCAGGTCACTGCTCTGTCCCCTCGTCCTCACCACCCTCCTTCTGAAGAGCCAAGGCAAGAAAATTAGGTCTTCACCTTCCTCCTTGCTGACCTTTCCAAGACCTGAGGGACAAGGCTCGGCCCAGAGCTCCCTTCACCTCCCTGTTCCGAAGACTATAGATGAGGGGGTTGAGCATTGGCGTGACAATGGAGTAGAAGACAGACACCACCTTGTTGAAGTTGACGGAGGAGGCCACTTTGGTGCGGACATACATGAAAAAAAGAGTGCCATAGAAGAGGCTCACCACTGTCAGGTGAGCTGCACAAGTGGAGAAGGCCTTCCTGCGCTCAGCAGCTGAATGGATGTGCAGCAACGTCCAGACGATGTTGCCATAGGACACAGAAATAACCGTAGAGGAGGCCAGGAGCACCGCCAGAGAAACGAGGAAGTCTGTGGTCTCCTTCAGGGTGACATCTGAGCAGGACAAGGCTAGCAGCGGTGAGGCATCACAGAAGAAGTGGTCGATGACGTTGGGGCCACAAAACGTCAGCTGGGACATGAGGTAGATAGGCAAAACAGGTGTGAGGAGGCCCGCCAGCCAACAAGCAGCGGCCAGACGGATGCAGGCGCCCCACGACACCAAGGCCGCATATCGGAGAGGCATACAAATGGCCACATAGCGGTCATAGGCCATGGCAGCCAGTAGGAAACACTCCGTTGCCCCCAGGAAGGTAAAGATGAAGAGCTGGGACAGGCAGCCAGCATAGGAGATGTTCTTGCTCCCACCTACCCCAATAAAACCAGCCAGCATCTTGGGCACTGTCACCGAAGTGTACCAGATTTCAAGGCAGGACAAGTGTGTCAGGAAGAAATACATGGGTCTACGTAGCCGGTGGTCTAAAGCCACCACCACGATGATGGCCAAGTTCTCCACCAGGGTGAATAGGTACATGGTGAGGAAGAGTGTAAAGAAGAGGGGGCGTGCTTCATGCACCCCAGCAAAGCCCACTATGACAAACTCTGTTACATGGGTCCAGTTTGGGGCATATGGCTGCATAGGTGGAAGTGAGAGTCAGGACGCTCATAACCTCACGGACAACGACAGCTCAAGGAGAACCAGTGAGGATGGCACACTGAGACATCTTTCATTTCAGAAGAGGAAAGCAAAGTCAAGACCCTGGCCCTGCCCCCGAAGAATGTATAGCCTGTGAGGAGCTCCAGAAAACAGACAATTTCAGTACAAAATTTAAAGTGCTGGATAAGGATGCCGACGTTATGGGAGGAAATAGCAGGGAAGCTCCCCCAAGTCTGGAGGAATCAGTGAATGCTTCCTAGAGGAAGTGTTGTCTCAGCTGGAACCTGGAAGAGAAGGATAAGTGAGTGAGAAAAAAGTTAGAGAGGTAAAGAGAGCACAGCAAGTATTAAACCCCGGATACCGGAGAGAAATCCGTGCATTTGGGAAACCTCAAGTAGGTACAGGTTACCATAGAAGTGAAGAGCTTAGTTTTGGGGGCGCCTGGCTAGCTCAGTCGGTTACACATCCGACTTTGGCTCAGATCATGATCTCATAGGTCTTGAGTTCGAGCCCCACATCGGGCTTTCTGCTGTCAACACAGAGCCTGCTTCAGATCCTCTGTCTCCTTCTCTCTTTCTGCCCTTGACCTGCACTCGCTGTCTCTCTCTCAAAAATAAATAAACATTAAAAAGTGGGGGGAGGGGGGGCATCTAGGTGGCTCAGTCGGTTAAGCATTCAACTTGGGCTCAGATCAGGATCTCACAGTTCGTGGGTTCGAGCGCTGCATCGGGCTATGTGCAGAGCCTGGAGCCTGTTTCAGATTCTGTGTCTCCCTCTCTCTCTGCCCCTCCCCACCCCTCTCTCAAAAATAAACAAAACATTCAAAAATTTTTAATAAATAAACATTGAAAAAAGAAAGAGCTTGGCTTCCTGATCAAGCATACCTGGCTTTAAATACAAAAGAATTTAGGGGATCTTTTAAAAAAATAATCATAGAGGGGCCTGGGTGGCTCAGTCGGTCGAGTATCCAACTCTTGGTTTTGGCTCAGGCCATGATCTCATGATTCATGGGATCGAGCCCCACATCAGGCTCTGTGCTGGTATCCAGGAGCCTGCTTGGGATTTTCTCTCTCCCTCTCTCTCAATATAAATACATTGAAAATAATAATACTAATAATTACAAAAATTTAAAAGTTCAATACAAAAGAATTTAACAGACTAGTGGAATTTTAAAATAGATAGTCCTTCTAAAGCATTTCGCACCACGTTTGGGTCAATACATAACAGAGCAAAATTTAAATGTGGACTTCTGGAGTAGAGTATGGGAGGAAGACGGCACTCATTGAGCCCGGGAGCAGGCAAGGGCATCACGGAGAGTGAGAAGCCGAATTAAGAGAAAAGACAGAGCTGAGCTTCAGTCTGGGGGCAACAGACAGTGTTGAGGAACTTAAGGAGAGGAGCAAGGTAAGCTTCCTGCCCTTCATAAGGACCAAGTGTGCTGTGCCGAGGCAGGTTTGGAGAGGAACACGGCAGAAAGGCTAGGTGGGGAGGTTTTGCAGGCGTAGCATGGGGTGATGATGGCCGTGGGCTCGAGGCATGGGGAGCGAACAGAGCTAATAAGAGACAGAATCAATAGGACTGAGTTTGAATCCAAGTTCCACCATCAACGTGAGATATGTGAGCCTGGGAAAAATCACTCAAAATTCCCTTTTTAAAAGCCGATAATAAAAAACACAGGTGTTGGGAATGCAAACTGGTGCAGTCACTCTGGAAAACAGTATGCAGATTCCTCAAAAAATTAAAAACAGGACTAGCCTATGATCCAATAATTCCACTACTGGGTATTCACCCAAAGAATATGAAAACACTACTTCGAAGGGATACACGCACCTCTGTGTTTACCGCAGCATCATCTACTCTACAATCGCCGAACTATGGAAGCAGCTCAAGTGTTCATCGATAGACGAATGGATAAAGAAGATGTGGTCTAGATATAGACAAGGGAATATTATTCAACCATAAAAAAAAGAATGAAATCTTGCCATTTGCAACAACGTGGATGGATCTAGGGGGCATAATGCCGAGCGAAATAAATCAGTCACAGAGAGACAAATCCCATATGATTTCATACGTATGTGGAACTTAAGAAACAAGACAAATGAGCAAAGGGGGGGAAAAGAGGCAAACAGACTCTTAACTATACAGAACAAACTGAGAGCTACAGGGGTGGGGAAGGGTGGGGGATGGGTTAAATAGGTGATGGGGATTCAGGAGTGCACTTGTTATGATGAGCACCGGCTGTTGTATGGAAGTGTTGAATCACTTGAAATCACCTGAAACAAATATAACACCGCATGCTAACTACACCAAAATTAAGATTTCTAAAATAATAATACTATTTTTAATGAAAAAGAGGGGAATAAGAATAAGACTACTAAGATGAATCCCTACCTTGTTTTAGATTCAGTGAAAGAATATAATGTCTCCATCATACGGCCCTTTTAAATCACAACCTCAAATTCGTTGACGTTCTTCTCATTAACAAGTGGGATCTATGGCCACTTCCCTTAAACCTGGTCTTGCTGATTGCTTGACGACAGAACAAGACAGAAGGATGCTATGCCAATTTCCAGGCTCAGGTCTTAAGAAATCGATTCCTCTCCCTGCTTCTTGGAACCCGGTCACCACAGGGTGAGGAAGCCCAAGCGGCCTGCAGAAAGGCCCACATGGGAAGGGACTAAGTTCTCCCTCCCTCAGCCAAACTCTCACTGCCCCAGCGTGCCAGCCGGGTGACTGAGCCGTCCGGGAAATAGGTCTCCAACCCCCAGCTGAGCTGGCCCAGCAGACACCAGCCTTCCCTGCTGGGACCTCCCCACATTGCAGATTTCTGAGCTAAATAGGAAATTATTTCTACTTTATGCCACTAAGTTTGGGAGTGGCTTGATGTGCAGCACTATATAACTGAAACAATGGTGCCCTGGTTCCAGAAGCTTGGGTGAATTATTCAATAACTTGGGCCCTCTGTAGGAAAAGGTGTCATGTTTTGCCCACGCTCACAAATGCCTTGGGGCACCTGGGTGGCTCAGTTGGTTGAGCGTCCAACTCTTGATTTCAGCTCAGATCGTGATCCTGGGGTCGTGGGAAATAAAAAAAATAAATGTCTAAACTGGGATCTGAATTTAGGTTGACAAGGTCTAAAACCTTCCTTGTTCCTTCCCCTAAAAAAAGAATTAAGCAGGTTCCTTGTGGCTTCAACAACCCATGATTTCCTGGCAACAGAAGCACACAGAGATGGTCAGAAAAAGGTCAAAGTCTTCAGATTCCTGCATTCCTAAGTCCATTCTTTAACATCCCCACGGCGAGTGGTCTATAAACATGGGCTTCCTGGCCAAATATAACTGCATTGCAGCCCTAGAGACTTCATGCTTCTGCTGGCTCCAGGAAATTTCAGCACACAATCCCTGAATATTTCTCCCCTTTGCAATCTGGTTTATAATGTAACAGTTTGAGGGCAGTGCTTACCCTTCCTGGATGCCCTTCCTGGAAGATACTCACTACACATGCGTACTGTAGAGCCTGACTTGACTCGTTGTGTTATAAATAGGCTTCATTGCATCCCATATCCTAGCCTCTAATTAATAAAGTAAAATGGGGCGGAGGCGTCTGGGTGGCTCCGTCGGTTAAGTGTCCAACTCTTGATTCGGCTCAGGTCATGATCTCATGGTTCGTGAGTTCAAGCCCAGCATTAGGCTCTGCGCTGAGGGTGCAGAGCCTTCTTGGGATTCTCTCTCTCCCTCTCTCTCTCTCTCTACCCCTCCTTGCTTTTCTCTTTCTCTTTCAAAATACATAAATAAACTTAAAAAAATTGTTTTTAAATACAGTGAAATGGGGTGCCTGGATGGCTCGGTTGATTAAGTTACAGCTCAGGCTATCATCTCATTGTTGGGCTCATGGGTTTGTGGGTTCGAGCCTCACCTTGGGCTCTGTGCTGGTGGTACAGAGCCTGCCTGGGATTCTCTCTCTCCCTCTCTCTGCCCCTCACCCACTCGTGCTGTCTATGTGTCTCTCAAAATAAATAAATCAACTTAAAAAAATTAAAAATATCATCTGAGGGTTGTTGGGGGGGTGGGGTAGAGGGGAAAGTGGGTGATGGGCATTGAGGAGGGCACTTGCTGGGACGAGCACTCGGTGTTGTATGGAAGCTAATTTGACAATAAATTATATTTTAAAAAATAATAAATAAATAAAATCATTATAAAAAAGGGCAAAAAAATTAAAAATAAAGTAAAACAGGGCCCAGTCTTCATTTCCAAGCCAAAACCTAGTATCTAAACTACACAGTCATCGGGATCAGCTCTTTCTCTACTGCCCAAGACCCAGTTGCATACTTTGAGGCCCAAGACACTAACTCAAGCTGTCAAATGGATCGAATCGTTATACTGAGAAAACCGTTCAAAAGGCTTAAATGAAAAAAAAAAGGTTTAAATGAATAAAATACTTGAATGGATTACTTCATTTATTAACTTATATTCATTCCCTTTCATTCATTAAAAAGGGAGAAAGAATCCTACCCAATTATCTAATCCTTGGCAAATTTTGAAACCAACAGCATTTGAAACTCGTTCCTTTGTAATTTACTGATGTGATTTACCCAGACTTAGATTCTGGCTGCTTCCCCAGTCGAGCACTCCTCCAGGAGCCTCTTGCATGTCAGGCATTGCACTTAGGCACCAAGCCTATAAAGGTTCAAGAGCCCTGCCATTGAAGAGCCCAGAGTCTTTCAGGGGAGTCCGAGAACTCTCCAAACGGAACAACCACCACAAGATGAGCCCCTTTCCATGCATCTGGGAGAACACAGCAGGGACAGTTCGTCTGGCCCAGAAGGAAGACAGGATAGGTGAAACCAAGAAAGAATTTCCCAACCAGATCACCGTGTGCAGGCTGAGAGACAAGATAATCCTTGACTGACAAAACCAGGTTCAGCAGAGGAGAGTCAGGTGGGCCAGGGAGGAGAAGCGTGAGAGATGAGTCCCTGGGAAGAG